CATATCACTGTGACCAACGCAAATCCTAAAGGGCGGGGGCTACGTTCCTTATTGGATCTGTCGAATGAATGCGTTTTGAGGCAACTTGGAACACGACAACCGATGCTGAGCCATGATAGTGTTGGAACAATCAAGATGAGGCATACCCAAGCTTGGCAAATTATAATTTGTGTTGCAAGCACCCAGGTGCTCCAAGACGGTTGACACCCGTGATGGAGCATGCGTACGCCCCGCTTCTACTAGGTGATGTGGTCCCTCTGTGTCCATTTGTTCTTCGTATTTAGGCCTCAATCGGTTGCAAGCAGCGAGATTAATTGGTCATAGACTCTTTCTTAGGTTACCTTCCTATCCATCAACGGTGGATTCCAGGCTAAAAACTACCTTGACAGCTTTACCACACACTTGTTTCTAAACAACCGGCAACAGCTTCGGACGGCCTTCGTAAGCAACTGAACTGAGTGGTGGATAAAGTTCAGAGCTGGAAGCCAGATGGGCCGCAATCATCTTTGAGCAATTGGTTGTCCTAGGGGTAAATCCTGCTGCGTCAAGGCACAAGTCTGCAAAGACGGCCTGCAAAAGGTGGTCGACGATACTGCAACGCAATTCAGATGGTACTGTAGGGACTCTGAGTTGGGCTTCTGTGTTCTCTGTGACTGGCCGACTACCAACAGTGACCGCTGGTGTGCAACGGATCGTGTATCATATGACACCAACTGTAGTGATGTTGAACCTTGCCCGCTGTGCGTTGATGCTCTTCAGGCTCGTAACAAAGGTGACCCCACAGAAGAATAACTTACTTTTTGGCACGCTTCTACCCGGCCTATCTGAAAAACACAAAGGCGTGCTTGCTACCAGGTTCGCAAAAACAACGCCTTATGTATACCTGGACCTGGTCACGGAATATAAGCATGGTGTGTCCCGGAAGTCACCGGGTCCCTGTGTTTTCGGATCCAAGGGGAACTACTCGACAGCCGTGAATAAATCTCTGACTATTACGGTTGATGATGTAAGCGCGAGCTAAATGAAATAGACGAAGATGTTTTCATGTGATCCATCAGCCTCAACCAGTTGGTCTTTTAACCAGACCTCATGCATTCCATTTAAGTCCCGTATTTCCTGAGGGATACAGCAAGAAGGCATGCGGAATAGCCGCTTGAGATATCCCTGTATAAACCTCTACGATATTACAGCCGCTGAAATGCCCCCAAGTTTATCGGCCACCTGCCTAATGGTGATATTTCGATAACCGCACTTATGTTTTCTTCTCATCTCAAATGTCACTGGCTAAATGAATCCTCCGCACTTAGTAGTTCCTGCGCTTCCCGACAGGACAAATGTACCAACAAAACCCAACTTTTTAGGTAATCTATTTTGAATATTTTCTTCGTCAGCTAGTTTCACTCAGGTGTCCGCTATGGGTGACGTGGGTTCGATGAGACTAGTTGATCAAACTCTGGAATTCCTAGCATAATAGAAAACCACGGTTTTAACAAAAAACGCACGAATTTTGGCCAATAATAAACGCGGCGTTCGTAATTTTAACTGGTAACTGCAACTGTTGGGCAAAAGTTGTTCACACGAACGGCACTTCGCATATTTTGCAGACACAAGGTCCATGTATATTTTAGAATGTTCAGGGAAATATTTCGCCTGTAATACTCTCTGGAAGTTTCGTCTTTTGTGAGGCAAATTTTTCCCCAACTTGCGATTCCTCATTACATTACACAACGCCTTCACAGTCGGTGATGCTTATTGACCTTGTAGATTCGCTTACCTAAACTAATCACCATGCAGATAATTTGCAAAATACATGCACAAAGACATATTGCATAGGCATTCTACACTATGAAGTGGAAACCCGGGAAATGTCGTAGCTTTCGAGAAATCAGTTGCATTGCGCGAATTCTTGGCGGCCCAAAGCCTTAGCACTGCAACTTTGAGATTAAATGCGCTAAAAAACTGAAATTGGAGATCAGTTAAAACAAAGTATATTAGAAGGCTACTTATCGCTCTCGGAGTGAGCCTGGATTAGACTAAATGCGGAAAATATTTATTCGAACCACAATGTCTTAGAGAAAATGGTAGCTGCATGCTAAACGTCGGTCAATGTGAAGGCGATTTAGAAGCCCAAAGCGTGTAACTTAAGAAAAAATGGATTTCTCAAGTGAGCGAGGTCAAAGCCAGATCGATCCAAAAAATCTACTCCGGGAAAACCCTGGTGACTTCATGTGGGATATGTTTTTCATAGTCATTATAGCCGTCATTTCTGATGCAAACATGTGGTGATATAATAAACGTATTTAAATTTGGCCACAGCGCTATTTCTGAGTCACAAGGTAGGATTTTCTGTAGCTGTCGTGCGATGTTCATGCATTAGTACTGCGCTGACCTTGCAGGCCGTCCGTGCTGAGGTACTGTTGCTGAGGCTACGGCGGCGAACCAAAGTCCAACGTACTGCGTTCAAAACAGCAGCATCTCTGTCAAATGACCCAAAGCCTGAAGAAAATTGAAACCGTTTTTCAAGAGCATAGCCATTGGTTCAAACTCCAAAACTTAACTCACCAAGTTGTGTGGGGCTGTGAGCACACATTATTCCTTCTTTTCTTCCTAGTTACCAAGGTCAGTGTGAGGCTGACATCCTTCATAAACAAACGAGCGCGCTGAATGAGAAGAAAACAACGACTCCTTATTGACTTCGCCACCCTTAAATTACGTTGTCATTATTTTCCGAAGTGCGGCCTGAATTCTGAGTCAAATAGTCGACATCGTGAGAGTACAGATGGACTTTGATCATGGCGCGGGACCCCTGATGCCACTGAAGCACTTCGCGCACAATAATGTGCCTACATCAACTCAAGGACCATGTAGTGCGAATCACTTGAAGTACATTATGTGCGCAATGGACTGAGCAGGTCCCACAGGTTGGTCACTAGGTTCCTGTATGACAGTGTATAATTTGAGCAGTTTCATGAATCTATTTTGCGGTACACAGCAGCGGTGGATGCGTCATGCGCAGCGTACTAGTCAACGTCTTTATGCGTAACACCATTTCATCACTCCATCATACCACGTCTAGTCAACCCATGAATTGCAGTTACTAGCACTCACTTGTATCTCTGGCAACAGCGATAACAAGCTTTAAGCTTAGGTGACGATATAACTTGGAGGTTTTAACGACACCTATAAGCTCATGCCGAAAATTGAGACAGGCTGATGAGTAGGGGTTAATCGAGCAACGTGAACCCATCTGCTCCCTGTACTTGGTGTTTGGAGGGCATTTTAGAATGCTCTGGCATTTTGAAACAGGTTCTAATTTGTCCAGTGTGATAATTTTTCGTTTCTTTTCGCGCTTGGACTGCTCATAGTGTGCAAGGCTTTTTAATGTTACGCTTTACTATCGCGCCCATAGTACATGAGCTTCAGACAACCCGCATTCTTTGACAAACTTTCACGTTCGGCCCAGCGCGTGATCTAAAGGACGCTTCTTAAATAATAACATTAATAATAGAACGTGCGCGTAGCAATAAGTGTTAGCCTATTCGTCACGGACTACCGCACCACCATACAATAGAAATAAACATTTTTCATGGTTTTCCGGGCCCCAGTGTTATACGATCTGCCTAGCGTGACCTGGGGCCAGAGAGCTTATCCTGCATAGCAACCACATTACCAGGTGGAGGAAATACAACAGCGGGACGAATATTCGTCGCATGATTAAATACGGTACGTAACATGAGAATACTGGCACAAACGTATGCGTCGACCTGAGATTGACGCCAACAGTGCATAGTGTGATGCTCAATGATAAAGAGGGCCAGATTCAGTGGAATCCTAATTTCTTGAAAGCTGAACGCAGACCATGAATGAGCTTTGAAATAGCCTGCTTGTCACTCCCAAAAAATCCACAAATCTGCCAAACAATATTCTACATCGGCTAAACACAGACTTTCTCGGTAAGCGGGCAATACGCTCCACTCATTGCGGCTAATTATGACGAGTCAGCTGAAAATTTTTTGGTCACTCCGGAAACCGTAGTGCCGAGAGCGGGGAACAAAAATCCTTCACATCTCAACAAAGTTCCAGGAAACTAGTTATTCGTGTATTACATTGGAGAAATCCGCCCTGAAAAAAATGTGCACCAAAGTGATGTGATCTTCTGTTCTCCAGAAGTGGTGTTTCCCTGTTTCATAACAACGAAGCGTTTAAAAGCAGTCAGTGTCTACCTACGTTCACCTAAGAACGGTTTTTGGTAGGATAAACTACTACGCCACGCATCAAAAGTAAACCAGATGTAATTTTGGAGACGCTGCGTTGTGTTTTAATTGCGAATTTACGCGGCCATTCGGATCCAGCTGCACCCATCAGCAAAAGCTTGTTCATGGCATTTTTTAAAGGGAGGGCACTCTCTAGGTCACCAATCACCGACGATCCGCATATGATTACCACCTTAAACAACTAGGCACGAAACCTAATCAAAGCACATTTTACCGTTTTTCCGTGTTTTTTAATTGGAAGGTAACGTACGGAAGTTCAAGAGCAACCTCCTCCCAAGTGGATTTTTCAACAACTTTGGTTTGCATTATACTTGCCAGGCAAAACAAATTGAATGAGTCGCTTCAGCAAACGTTTTTAAAAGTTGGCTTGCTATTCATTGTAATAATGAAAGAAGAATCAATGTACTATGCGGCACTAATGCGAGCATACACCCCTGCGGACAAGCTTAGCTCATAAATATACACAAGTGTTTGGTAGATAACGAAGCGCTTTCTAATATTAGCACGTAGATTGCCGACGCGACGATAGCTTTCTTGTTGCTAACAACCTTAGCTATAATACTCTGTAAAGCGTGAAAATGTTGCCAGAAATTAAAACCAGCTATGGCTTCTGTCTTAAATCTTCCTAATCATTGTCGAATCTGGAATAGTCCCCTCTCAGTGGAGGCAATCTGTTTTCCGCCCTTATTTTTAATCCGGACCCAGGTGAACTACGTCCAATTACAGAGGAATTCATCATACCCCTCTTTTAATGCAAGCCCTTGAACGTCCGGTCAAAGGCCTCCTAATCAGGTTTCTCTTAGCTACAAATGCAAAGGATGACCAACAGTACGGATTTCTATCTCAGAGATCCGTTATTGGCCGCCAGCTTCACTTCTTTGAGACTATCACAGCAGCCTACAAAGCTGGATACCCCACTGCAACAGTCTACCTGAACATTCAAAAGGCCTTCATCAGGTACCCAAATTCCTCCCTGCAACACAAACTTAGTACCGTTGGCATCACTAAAGCCTTATTTTAGTTGATCGCCTCCTATTAGACAGGGCGCAAATAACGCAAATCGGGGACATGCAATCATGTCCACTATATTTCACTGTTGGAGTCATCCAAGGAAGCGTGCTATGCCCCATCATTTCCCTACTGTGCGTCAGTGACGTCCCCGGCGCAATATCCCCTGGTAAGGCCTACTCCTTCGTGAACGATAAAAAAGATTGTACATATTACCCCTCTGCACAAGCCCTGCCTCCCACCATATTAAGCGCGACTTAGATTAACTGACTCGCTGATCCAGCGACTCTGGCCTAAGCTTCTCCTCCACAAAATTTGCACAAATTCCTGCCGTTGCTTTCTCCCAGCTGATGCTTTCACAATAAGTGGAAACCCTATCACGTGTTCCACGGCGATGAAAGATCTCAGCCTCAGATACTCCTGTACTTTTAGTTTTTCCCACCGGGTGACAATTCAGGCTGCCAGAGCACGCAGGCTCAGTTTTTAACACTGCACTCCAGACACAACGGTTACAATTTTTAAGCTATGCGCATGACCAACCGTGCAATTTCGTCCCGCATTCTCCTGCCTTTACACTCAAAGTCGCAGGCTCGCAATTGAAAATGTCCAACCCTCATTCACGGAAAAGCTGTTCCCTCGGTCAAGCCCCTCTCTTACCTCTCCCGCTGTCAAATCCTAGGCCTCGAACCACTGTGGCTTAAACGGTTAAAATTGAATCTGACCCCTACACCGTCTGCTACCCAAAAAGCCTTTGTATCAGAGGCAAGACCACCCCGGTCGTGCAAACCTACGCTACTACTTCTTTCTGGCTTATTACGCTCGCATCTGGAACAGCCCTCTTGAGCACCTGCGAAGCGTCATGCACCATCATACTTCTTCTGAGTCCGTAGACAAAGTCCTCACCTGTGAAACTGCTGCCGCCTTTCCTGATACTCCACTACCCTATGACCTGCTCTACAAATCGGGTTCAGTGCGAATTTGAGTTAAGCGGCATTACAATTGGTGGGTATGTAAAAGATCCTGTTATCACTTCTTCCTATCCTCTCTAACCACTTAAGCCAAAGTAGGACTTAAACGCCTACTTGATCTCAATGTGCTGTGCTGCTGGCCTGGTTGCTATCTCTTTTCATTTTTTACCCAAGCCAACTTACACCTCGTACTATTATAGTCCCTACAGCGGATCACTCTATCAACTCTCTAGCGACTATTGCTCTCGGCCAAACTCTACTGACGAAAGCCATATTAAAGTCAGCTCTTTATCTTTAGATCGTTGTATGAATTTAGCGCCTACTAAATCGAAATGTACTGCGTTACTGGTCTGGTTATTTTTTCCACAGCCAACTTATACCTCGTCCCACTCAAGTACATGCTCCTGATTACTCTGTCAGCTGTCTAGTGGCTGGTGCTATCAGCCTAAGTCTACCTGATAAAACAACCGAAATTCAGCTTTTTTCTTCATTACCAGAGCTCATTCTGCGCAAGTATATATCCCGTCCGATGATTACCCCACTAAACCCTCTTTCAAACAACTTTGTGTTGCGCTTCTACTTGGCATGGTAGCCCACACAAACGCTCGGAAGCCGTATAGCCATGATGCACTCGGCGTGAATATCATCATTCATTTCGCACTGTCTCACTGACAGCTGTGGTTTCACTTCTCCTCCACGACTTACCTTTACCAGTGCCTGTATGCTGTTTGCTTGTTCGAATTGACTGAGACGTCTTTACTGGCCCTGCCTTCCCCCGACCAGAAAATTGGTAGCTGAAGTATTTAGTAATGCACAAACCGCATTTATGACTGGATGGTTTCCACCCTGCGGATCTGGTAGTATGCACGAGGGATGAAAACCTCGTGTGGTGAACGAGTACGCCCTGCGAAGAGGGTCGCTCTGTAGCCTGCACCATGGTGCGTTTGCATATCCGCAGCCTTCCAGTAGCCCATCGCCGATGGTTCGGAGCCTGACCTTTAAATTCAGGAAATCAAAAAAGTACTGCTGGATTCTTTCGGTTGCCGCCAGTGTCGGGCTCGCCCCAGTTGAGTTACGTATTTGGCAATGCCATAAAACACGGATGAGTAAAAAACAGGCCGATCATCTGTCAAAATTAAAAAGTACACCTGAGATAACTTGAAGATACTTTGCAATGCTTATGGCCCACATTGACGAGCATAGCCACATCGCACCAAAACCCGTTTCGTCAACCAAACAAAGAACACATCTGCCTTCCGCTCCCAATAATGGACACGAAAGTTTTCATGGCTATGCACCACTTACAGATTTAAGCTGATAACAGAGCTTCGGGGATTGGTGACTGTTTTTCTTGCACATGTTTTCTCTCCTGGTACCGTCCAACTCATTTTATAAATACCAGAGTGATTGGTTATCTTAGAATTTCACTCCCGTCGGCCCCTATACATCTGACCTCCATACCACAACTCTACGCACTTACATAGGCTTTTACTAGATGCCTTGTGATTCAATACCGTATGTTTGCAAACCCACTCTCTAGTCGCTAGTCTATTCAGTACAAATCCATATTTATCCTACTCCATATAATCACTTGTCATCACCCTAATTGCGGCAGTTTTTTCTTTCTCTGTATATTGGTGCGCAGTATCCCATCTGAAGTCTCTTCAACCTCACCATGCTTATCACATCCCATCCCCTCATCTTCGAAGTGTTGAACTTCTGCAATGTCCGGTTTGGACGACCTGGTTGGTTGTTATCAACCCCATCTGACCTATGATCTACAACCGCGGGATCCCCAAACGGACCGAAGAACCTTGTGCTCCCATATCGGCTTTGTTCCACCCTGTTTCCTCGGCCAGCCTTAAATGAACCCCGCTACCCGAAGAATTGCACACACCAGCCTAATCCCCTTAAATGTGGCCAATGATTGCACAGCATTGCCATACCTAGTTTGATAGAACACCCGCAAATATCCAATTCCTTCTCTCGACCCTGACCTCTCGTTCACTCGTTCCGTTAACCGCAACGCACCACCTGACCCCAACTGCTTCCATGGCATATTCATTCCAACCTGTTGAACTACTCGTTCGAATTTCACTACCTCTGTTTCTGTGCCTCTCACTAAATTCATTGGCCTTCAATACAGTTCGTGTTCCTGTTTGCGTGATGCCACCATCTCACTCTTTAAAAGACCTATCTTGCCCGACTCAAAACAGCAACATAGGTGAGTCCTACGGTTTCTGTGATTCCTGTTAACGCAAATCCGCTTTGCTGAACCTCACAATTCAACCCTACTTACAATTTTGTGACCCTGGCCATGAGTTCAACAGTCCAGAACCACCAGGCCCGAACGGTGGCTTTAGGTTTTAGTTCAACATGACCGTCTGGATGGCACCAACTCTGCTTCTTCACCTGATCAGATGTCTCGCTTCCTCACTTTTCACCCTTTACACTTTTTTGCCACGTGTCAGACAGGAAGCCGTTTATTAAGCCCTTCCCCGCTTTGCTGTTTGCCCGCTTACTTCAACTCCTAGCGATCTGACCTTGTTCAATGTTCTCTCCAACGGCACATTGTAACTGTGCATCCCTCCCGTGCCGGTTCAGTGGCGGCATGCCTATTCGGTATAATACCCGCCCCTAATGATGCTGTCCTATTTCCTAACCCCCCGTGCCCACGATCCCCGCTAAACATGCTTTTAGTATGACTGTAACGTTATAATCATACCTGAGTGTATGCCCACACGAACTGGGAAATAAACATTATTTTTATCATTATCAATATGAACGTACTCACTGTCGTTCACTCTTGCGATCTATTGCAATCGCCAGGCATAATTCTATGCGCGATCCTGGTTAACAATCCCCGACTATGCCACATCCGACAGAGAACGCCACTCCTTCATAATCTGATGTGTTGTTTGTCTGCGATGTGCACGCTTAAAATAATACACCACCGCCTGTGGCGAATCATGTTCTTACTGGTTCTTTGAATCGGTAAAAACGTAACGGGTGGTCACACCACTTGCTTACGGAAAGCATTTTCACCGGACAGGAAAAATTTATACTCACACACCTTAAGTGAAACTGTTCAGATATCCAATTAGTATAAAGGCGAACATGCTAGTTGCTATATCGGTTCCGTCGTCGACAATGAAGGATACCCAAGTGGGCCGATGTACGATGTGAAGTTTCTGTGGTCATATGCGCTATCAGTCACAGAGATTTTCAAGAAAAATTTGTGTGTAAAAGGCGGTCGTAAGCTAAATTCATATACGCTTCTTTAAATTAAGGGAAATCATGCATCCACAAGCTTGTACCCGTGCACGCTCCTGTAGCGACTACTTCGTGTGTGGGTGGGCACTTAATGCCAAATCCATCAAATCGAGTTTTAAAACCTCGCCCCATAACACCTCTGCATTACGTCACTTGTACGTTGCGGCCCAACGAAAACGACACGTAATCATCCTATAAATCCACGACATCGAATTTAATAGAGCAAAAACTGTTTACCAGTACCTCTACCAAATTTTGTGAGGCTGTAATCGTACGGTTTGGTGGCGTCCCGCTGTCCGTTCTTGCGATAAGACGTGAACCTCACGTTTTTGTGCGATCTTTCGTCCCTTTTATCTAATAGGTTAACTAGACCCATTGAACTTCCAGGATTAGACAGCACTTTCTGACTGCCTGAAATATCAGCAGGCTATTCGTATCCACCGTTGACAGACTACTATACACAGTGACTCGTAGCTTGACTTCCCCTGCAGGTCATACACCCAGTATTCAGACGAGTGTCCTGGTTTATTCCAGAAGCTTCCGTCATAGCTTCATATTTGTTAGTTTCACCCTGGTACATGACAATTCTCCCTTCCAACGCCCTACACGCTCAAAATCCAGATACAGGTTAGATACGACATCAAGTTTGCTTCAGCCACGATTTTTGAAAACGTATACAAATACCTCTGATCTTCCTACCCAGCTTCATGGCCACCTACATACGAGCCTTGACGGCGCATCATTTAGCCAATGCAGGCCTCTATGTTCCTGAATGAATGCGTCTGCCTACATTAATTAAACATGGCCACTCCCTACCATCTGCACCTAAATGTCGATCATCGTTTATGAAAAAGGATGGCGCTGCCCCGCCAGAGTGGTAAGATAATGTAATCACTAGTAGCTAATTGCCATTTTGGAATACAATCCTAAAAATTTCTACAGCCCCTAAGTAGAACTTCTTTTGCCGTTTTCTAATTTCAACTGCTCGTTATGGATCCGGTTGACTTATTGCCTCGTTTGGGTGGCAGCAGATAAACACGCTACAACCTCAGTGGACTCATGAGCATCTTTGCTTCACACTGGTCTCTATTTGTCACGATTACTTTGCCGATAACCGCGGTTATCATATAAGGAGCTGTTCATAATTGAAACTCATCCGTTGCAATGACGGTACTTTAACTGCCGTAGCCAGTGTGATGGGTTACCCCTATTTCAGCATACCTCTACTATTTCCTGGTCGAGCACGTTACAAGCACCCAAAATGTAGCCACACTCTGCATAAATTGTGCCAAACACTTCGACACATTTGCCAGGATATTGCACTGTCTGCTTTCACCTCCCATTAAACAACTAAATCAGTCGATGACAACACCAAGGAGTCGGTACATCGGTGAAAGAAATAACTTGCACCTAATACAGGACGTGCTTAATATTAATTAGCCTTACTGACAGCAGCGAATTTGTTATGTTTGTTTCGTAAGACATCTGCAACGTCTGAAAATGGCTTCTGCATTTTTATTTTGCGCGGACAAGGGCGGCATTATTATTGTTCAGTAAATCCGCCAAAATATCCATTTTCCAGTACGGAAGAAAACACTTGGAGCGACTGACCTGTAAGAAATTTCTCAGACAGCCGATAGTTGCATGAATAATGCGCACAACATAAACTTTAAGAAAAACTAAACAAATTTTTACAAATCTGCTACTGTTTGGAAAGATTTCAACTTTCAAATAAATACTGTTAAAGGTTGAAGCTTTATGTCAACGTTTCCCGGGTTCAACCGTTTTTGGTCTGCCCCTAAGAATCTGAAGCAATATTCTACTGCACAAGCGAACTACAACTCCCAGGGTAATAATAATAAAATTTACTCTCAGCTGGTCGGTGACATACCGCCAGTCAAGTTTCAAATGGTACGATCAGAATAAAGGTACGACTGAAGTCATTTCCGAACGCTCAAAAATGCAGCGAAGCTGGGGAGTGATAAATATTGTCGGCGGACAGCGCAAAGAGGCGAAACTAGAGAGTCCAGCCCGGTGTGCGATAACAAAAGAGCAGGTTGCGCAAAATGGGATACCAGAACAACGGGTCTAGTGAAACAGCATCGTCACAGTGTTCCGACCGGCTGACTTGAAGTGAAACTAAAAATGAATGCTGAGGTTCGTAAACTTAGACAATTGGATCAATAGCTAGGGTCGCGAAAAGCGTAGGTGGGATGATTGATTTGGGAAAGTTGTAACGCGAATAAATGTGGGCTAAAATCCCAGAATCGCGGTGTACGGTAGGACTGTGTAAACATAATTGTGTCGCTGGTTACGCGAAGTCGGGTGGAAACGTTCCTCGGGAGAGTGAGTTACCGCTAACGCACAGGATGATTCGCGTACTGAAAAGAAAAGAGCTGACTCTGTGAAGAGCACATACTGAAAGTCCGCCAAGAAGGTTACATCTGAACAAAATGTTCAGGAGATTGGCATGAACTCGTCCTGAATTCGGCTGGAGACCGGCGATGAATTGGTTTGCAGTTGCATATAGGGGAAAAAAGGGGCAGAAGGGCACAGTCAAGAGTGGGTATGCCATCAGACTGGGCATGGCAGTGCTACACTATCTTCGCACTATCATACTTGGGCTGTGGGCATTACAGACATAATAGACGGTTTATAATAAAGCGTTATGCTTATGGCGCTTGGAGTGAGGACGTGCCATTATTTGGACAGTAGGATTTTAGGTTCGCTGACGGGATCCATATGTGTCGAACAAAATGGGTGTAGGATCACAGGTATCTTCAGCTGTTTTCTGATTGAAACACAGACAAGGTGGAGTGGATGACGACCGTACGGGCATTTAAAAGCATGTGCCGCCAAATATCGAAGCTTGGAAAGACGAGATAATAGGTTGCGTTCAACGAAGCCTTGTTAATATGAAGAGGTATCAAGTAGCCTAAAATCTTTTAAAGGTGGTGAAAAAAGGCAGGAAAAATGGGACGGAATTTGTGATCAGTCCCCTAGCTATCAAGGGCTGGCTGAACTTGATAAGAGGCGAAGACCATACTATTATAAGTATGTAGAGAAGCAGTATACAAGAAACGTCAAGGACTGAAGGGGATACAACTTTCTAGTTGATGGACTCGTTTATCTGGAATTAGCTGCGTGATTTATATAAAGCCGCGATTTAGGGCAGAAAGTGAGTGCAACATAAAAGGTCACTAGTTCCTGCGGCACGACTGTTAACTTAAATCAACAAGTGCTGCATGGCGAAGAATCCCATACGCTCTAGCATCTGGTGATGGCATTGGATGTTTGAGAACCCCATAATAAATTTTAGTATATTTGTTGTGTTCGACTACGCTGGGAAGGAGTGAAGAGGAGTGCGTAGTTACGCTTGGTCGCGAATTGAGTGAGATGGCTACGGCTTTGCACGTCGACGTGAGTCATGGGCCTCGCAGGGTATGATGGGCCTATCACATGTGTTTTTAAAGTTTTCGCCAGACGGAGGGTTGGATTTTCTCTCCGTAGCATTGTCAGCTAAGTGGTATTAGCGGTACAAGTCCCATCGGCAGCTACGAACATAAAACAACAATGCTCCTTTATGGCATTTCTGAAATGAAGGCCAGGCTCAGACCCACTGGCTTTTGTTGAAACATGTGCTATTGGATGGGTGGCGCGTGTACAAACGCACCATGCAGTAGTGCAGGGCGTACCTGACCAACGCACGAAGTTTTGATCCCTCGTGCATGCTATGAAATCCGGGAGCTGGCAAGCCGACAAACACCAGTAATTGCAAATTGTGTATTAACAAACATATTCAGCTACCAAATATTTCATACAGCCGAGTGACACCCAGGCCAGTAAAGCAGCTCAGGCAGTTTGAACAGGCAAGCATGTGGCTGAGAAGACGAATGAAGTTGCAGCTACCATTGGGACAATTAAAAAACTGGAGATGTTCAGACCGCCAGTGATACGGTTAAACAATGACGGACCGTCGTT